CATCACGTGACCCGACGAATTAGCATGCCAAATGAATGTTCTATAATTCGAAAGCAATTCACTTAGCAGAAGCAGAAACCTTTAATATTCCCTATATATTCCCGTTTAATAAGCATAAATTTCAGTTAGTCCGTTCCCCGGGGCCTGTTATTTGCCCCTTTCTTTTTTGTATTTGATATTCGTCCTATAGAAACCTTTGTTTCATTCGATAACTCTGTAGTCCCGATAAAATTCATTGTTTTATGAGCCTGTTTTGGAATTATTGTTGTCCATTTGGTAAGTGGTTCGTACGGGCAATATTTATTTTGTGAATAGTTTCCAGTCTATTATTTTTCCATTATATATTTATCACAAAGCCAGATAATAGTAGATTGTTTTATTAGGATCAAAAGTGACACTTTGTTTGACAAGCGAATTTTGCATTTGCGAGGCGGAGCGTTTAGCGAAGCCGAGCGAAAGCAAAATTTTCGAGTCGAATAAAGTCACTTTTGATCCGAATGAAACATGCTATTTTTTCTGCAACCGAAACAATTAACTCAAATAAATATGTGAAGTTACCACCAATGCCGTGCCATATGTATGCAATGCAACAAATATTGACAAATAATCCGTGTAGTGAGAACATTCTACCTGCATCAACAGCAGGTTCATTCAATTTTCAAGGATGTTCGAATTGTAGTTTCAATATAAGTACAATCACAGAGTGACATATTTGTGTATGGACCAGGTGCTCTAATAGCAAATACCGCGCCAGTGCCAGCTATAGGAGCAAGACGTGGAAAATGTTAGGTTAATGGGCATATCAACAATGATAATGGCGATTATTTACTCCTCTCTATAATCCAATGTTTTTCGCTTAATAATCAAATGAAGCTGAACAATATCGTTGTTTGAGACAAAAAACTATTGCTTGTCGTGATTATTCAAAAACAAGTTATCCATCCCGAGAATAACGAATGAAATACAGATCAAGCAAGTAGTATTTGAATCTTGAAGGCTTTCCTGATCAAAACAGAAATACTTAACTGAGATGTTTATAATTCCAATACTAAACTATAATAAGGTGTATTTATATCTTCAGCATGGGTATGAAATTCCAAATCTGCTGAAATCGGAAACAAATCAGGTAGGCGTCTCAACCCAAATAACCAACCGTCACAATGTTGTTCATTCTTGATGACGTCCAGTACTTCCTTTTTAGTTCCTTGGAGCTAAAGTTCAACTTTAGCTCCTAGGAACTAAAATTCAACTTTAGCTCCTAGGAACTAAATATGTTGCCTAGCAACCTACCTATTTTTGTGTTGTCAGCAATAGAAACGTCAATTTAAGAGCTAATTTTGGTATCAAAATGGACGACTTTTGTGTCGGTTGCAGAAAAATATTATGACTAACCTCTTAATGATTGTAAAAAACATTTAAATACCTATATTTTGTATGGATATTTTGGGATTTGGTCTAGTTTCAATGATGAGATTTGAAGATTTCAAGACAACCACACTATACCACACTGAACTTCGGGATTAGAATTATTGGAGTATCATATTACAGATAATGTCGTTTTTCAATATGTCGGGGAAATATTTGTCAATATCGATAGGAATTTCGCTGCGGACAACTCAATTTGTTGAGATATTTTCGAGCCATTTATTTTACGACCCATAGTAGTCGTTGGGGCGCGATATCTAATTTAGCGATAATGGCTCTATATATATAAATAATATCTAGGTTTCAGGAATTTCAATCTCGATATAGCCCAATATTTTGTGGCATTGTGCAAACAAAAATGTCTATGAATATTCTACTGATTATGTCGTGTAATTTGATTTTATGTTCATATACAGGGCGATTCAGTAGCAAATACCATTTATTGATGGGCATATACATATATACTCTTGTATATGATGGTATTAAAGTGGTCGACTGACGAAACAGTTTTCAGGTATATTATATAATTTCACACCAGTGGACCAATGATTCTGTTTCTTCTTTTCTATAAATGTACTTGAAATGAGCAGGCGTTGGAAAATTTCTGAATACAGCGGAATAAAAAACTGTCTACCGAAGCATTAAACAAAAATTATTTCATTGCATAAACTCTCATTATTCCATAATCTTGTTCGTACTGAATTGTTAATTTTGGAGGGGAATAAAAATATATCTATAGATAAAATTGCAGTTTTCCTAAAAACATGTTTCTATTTTTATCTTTAACAAAACAAAAAAAAATTGTTGCTTTCACATTTTCACAGTCATTCGAAAATAACCTTGAACAGTCATTGCTGCTATTTCTATACACTCACCTTGCCTAATACACCAACAATAAAACACTTGTTCTTCCATCATCTATACCCCTAAGAAAACTACCCTCCTCCTTGTCCCATTTGAATGCACGGTGCAAATCTTTAGAAAAGTCTTCCCTTGCCTCGAGAAGCCAAGTCAGGTGCCACATTGTATGTCATAACGAGGAAGGAGAGGTCCTTTCAGACTTACACTTGGGGTATTTAATCTATGCTTCGGGGTGTAGGTAGAGCTGAAAGGCATCCACCTTAAGGGATGTCTGACGTCTTATTGTAGCCAGATTCGATGGAATCGCGTTTTGTGTAACACCTGTTGCCCCTTCGAGGAGCGGTGAATGCATTGACTGCGATTCAGAGATAAATCTGTTTGATTATTCCATTCATTAAAAAAAAAACACGTTCTTGATTGGTTGAAATATCAGTGTTGATAGTCGAAAAAAGTAATTTTTCAAACAAGTGCGGAAAGTGATACTTTACCGCACGTCAATGCCGTTGACCCGACCGACACGAAGCGGAGTTCGAGCAAGCAGTCGAGTGCGGGAAAGATACTTTCCGCATGAGTTATGAACAATATTTTTTCTACAAGCGTATAGGAAATTGATTGATTTGTTCAATCAATTATTCCTGCAAATAGGAACAACTATAACAATAGTGATATATTCTTTTCTAGGTTTCACACATTTCTAGGAAATGAGCCAAAAATACTTCTTCTTTATTTGGTGTTTTCACTTTTTTACTATAGCTCCATTCAATAAATCCCGTGTAGGTATATAGTGCTTCTCGTGCTTTACATCAAAATTCCGACTTATAACTCGGAATTTTAAAATTCCGAGATATAAGTCGGAATTTTGAATGAATGAATGAATGAATGTTTATTGGCAGAAATAACTGATTACATGGAAGTTAACAATGATTGTACCTAACTATTCAATAAACATTTAAATAACTCACACAAGTCATTGACGACAACATCAATGACTTGTAGTACGTGGTATTACATTATACAAATACAAAATTCACACAGTTATTACAATATAATCACCTATAATCTAGAATTCATACATAAAAGTTGAAAATAATAGAAAATGAATTAAAATAGAAGTAAGAAATAAGGCGAGAGCGCAATTTCAGACAGGATTCAAGACAGCAGCGTTTTAATATATATAACTTATTTATAATCGTGGCAAGTCAATCGTAGATGATGTGCAGTAGGTACTATAGGTACCTATATGTATGTATTTTACATCCAATATTCTGAGTTATAACACGGATTTTTGAAATTTCGAGTTATAACTCGGAATTTTACATCCAATATTCCGAGTTATAACACGGAATTTTAAAATTCCGAGATATACCTAAGTCGGAATTCTGATGTAAAATTCCAGAGTTTTTATTTTTTTTATTTTATGTGTCCCTTCCAGGCCTTCGTAGTATCGCATCTGTAGCTGTGGAAGTTTTTCATCGCAATTCCACTGAATCGAAAATGACAGTATAACGCTCTGTCTGTCACTCTGAGAATTATACTAACTAATTTGTGTTTTGATTGACATGACAACAATTGTTTCCCACATCAGATCAATTAAAGGGTATATTTATACAGGGTGTTTCATAGGTAAAGGGAAATATTTCAATGGTAGATAGGGGTTACCAAGGTGGTTCTGAAATTACCATATTTGATAGGCCTTAGAGTCTTCATAACGGAGATACAGGGCGATTTATCGATTGAAAAAATGGAAAAAAAATCAAGCAGGTATGCCACTTCAAGACAATTTGAATAATAATTGAATTCTGCGTAATTGTGTCTTTCTCACAGAAATTCGTACAAATGTGACGACAGAATTTCCACGGTGCAGAACTTTGGGTGGAAAATGGGGTCTTCCCCTCATCCCAAACTTTAATTTGCTTCCAAAAATTTTTTTATTGGTTGATGTCATTCGATATTATACGTCGAGCTTTGGGTTTGAAATATTTGAATTTATTCCAATGTCACCCTGTACTATATTAGACCAGAAGATATAGGTAGAATCTGAGGATGTACTATAATACAAGGACGAAAACAATGCTCATCGACAAGTTTTGATTGAAGGATTTTCGGCAAATTGCGAATAGAAGGCTCTGCTATATACTTACCCATCCACTCACCTATTATACCTCTACACTGTAACCAAAACAGTTTAATTTGGTGAAGCCAATAAATGTCCAGACCAATTCCGACTCCCATATAATTCGTTTCGACCGGAAATGATTCAACACAAATCGCTAATGAATTATAACGGCCAAATTTCGAAAATCAAACAGGAAGCACAACAAATAAACTCACGGAAATCGTACAGATAGAAAACCCATTCCACCTAATTAAAAACGCAAAAAGAATCACCCGAAGGGCTTCCAATAACCTCTCTCCTATCTATACACACGAGGGGGTGTACAAAATCGCCATCTGCAAGGGAATCCCTCTAATGATTCGTTACACGACAATAATTGCCTAAAAACCGTTACGAAAAATCCATCGTGAACCAAAATCCGTTACGAACAACTGAACACCGCCGTGATTTCGCCCTAGCCCATACGCCGGCGCCCGACCAATAAGGGTAGCGATGTACCCCCACCGAGCACGAGCCCTTCGCCTTCGAGGCGGGGTGAAGCTCCCATTGGGGCTTAAAACCCACGCTGCCCGGCCGCAGGACAAACACCGAAATGTAACTCGGCGTCGATCAGTTGGCTGCGACACCCAGTGAGGCATGCCTCGCGTGCAATACCCCCATGACCTCGAGTTCGTCCCGTTCCGGCACCAGTTCAGCCTGCCGGAGTTTTTCCACCTGCAGCAGCATCTGTTCAGGTATGCCGAGCCTCTGGAGCTCGCCACAGCCTATCCGTTGGACCTCAGCTTGAAGCACCACCACCAGGAGGCTCCCATCACTCCTCCGTGCACACCGTCGCCTGGGAGCAAGAAGAGCTATCGCTCGCCCACTCCCGAGCAGCCGGCTAAGAAAATCAAAACAGCTGCGGCGATAACGCCTCAGAAGAAGACCAAAGCTACCAGGAAGCTCAATTTCGATGAGGACAACAGCTCTCCGGTGTCGGGAACGATAATCCGGGAGCTGGGGCCAGATGAGCACTTGGTGGTGCGCAAGGGGGACATTGATCCTGCGTTTAACGTGGTGGAGGTTACTGAGGAGGCTAAGGCGGAGATTGCCAAGATCGAGAACGTGATTGGGGAGTATGTTTGTAGGCTTTGCAAGGAGCTGTATGAGGATGCGTTTGGGTTGGCGCAGCACAGGTGTTCCAGGATCGTACACGTGGAGTACAGATGTCCGGAGTGCGATAAGGTTTTTAATTGTCCTGCTAATCTGGCGTCGCATAGAAGGTGGCACAAGCCGAGACCGCCCAAGGATTGCAAGGTGGAGGATGGTGTGGAGCAGGGAGATGCATCAGGTAGGTGTTTTTTTTTGGAGATTGAGACGATGAGTCTTCCGTATTGAGATAATTTTCGTTGAATTTTATATATATACTGATGGTTGAGAATTTGGGTCTTCATAGAAATTGAGAACAAGAAATACTTATTTGACTAATCGTTGTAAATGCAGGAAAAACCATGATAATCAAGTTCTCTATATTGTATTTTGTTCTAATATGTCTCAATTTTCCAAAGAATCTGCCCATTGAAATTTGATTATTTTGACTTTTGATCTAAGTATTAGGTATATCAGAATCAATATCTATTTCTGGAATTCACAGATAGTGAAATTCGTAGTCTTGAGGATAAAACTAAACTGACATTTTTCCATCTTGGAAGATCATCTTTTATTTAAATTCATCAATCATATCGATCGAATGGTATATTCAAATTTTCTCCAATCATATCAAGGAAGTGCCAATCATATAAAATGGGATATGTTCGTGAATATTTTGGGGAATTTATTGTTCATGATGTAGGTGTAACATATAATAAATATGGGAGGATTCGGAAAGAGACTGATGATAAAAAATATGGAACTAAATGTTTCTCTGTTCACTAGAAAATTACATTAATTTCACAAGGAGTACCTACTCTACTATAATAGATACCTACACCTTTGCAAAATAATATATATTATAGGTATACTGATTATAGGATTTCAAGAATGGTACTTAAAAAATATAAATATATGCTCATTAATGAAATCATATGTATAGAGGGTGCCCCATAAATGTAGTGCATTACCTTGGCAGTAGTTTTTACGACTAAAAATAGGAAACAAATTCAAATTTACTTGAATGAAATCTAAAATAATAGCCGAAACGCTCTTCTGAAGATGGTTTTGTATTTCCGAAACGGTTTTACTCGAAATAATGAAATTCATCTAAAATCTCAAGCTGGAAAATAAAATGTGAACGAAATTTGGAATTTTAATTCAGCAGTGTATTGAACAGGGTTGGCTTAGTAACTACTTCTAGTTCCCACTTTTTTGTTATTGCAAATATTTTTGCGGTTTTACAACAGAAATTGAAAATTGTGTGTTTTTCCATCAAAAAGTATACTCTCGTTTGACTTCGATAAAATGCTCGATCCTAGACTAAAATCAAAAATCAATTTGAATATTATAAAATTGGCCATACACAGGATGAGGAAGAGTTCGAGCACATATATTTTATTTATTATATTATTCAATTTCATGCAATATAATGAAACCTTCGTCACTGCTCTCCACAGTCTTATTGTGATCAGGCACGGACTAGCTAGTTTTTCAGTTAAATCGAAAAAAGTTAAATTTTGTTTACTGCCCTGATGTCTAATTTAATGGATTTTCCTATAATAAGTGTGTCAGAACATGAAAATTTCACACAACGAAAACAATAAGTGATAATACTGTAATTTTTTTATTATTTTGAATAAGAGCTACCTAACTCTCTCTCTTCTTAACTCACACAAGTCTCTGACTTTCGAGGGTTGCTTTGCAACTAAGCTGGCGGTTAAAAACACTTTTAAACACTTTTTTTTTTTTAAGACCGAGCCTGAGACATTATGTTCCTAAAATAATGTTGCTTATCCACCTCAACTAGTTTCCTGAATCCTCGTGGTCCAATTTTCAACTACTTTTTGACACATATCACGTGAAATGTGAAATGTGTTCCAGAATGCGTCGAATGTGTTGATTAAGGCCTTATTGAATTGTACGAGGCTTATTTATGTAGACTACAGATTTAACATAACCTCCACAGAAAAAAGTCGAGGGGTGTAAGATCGGGCCATCTTGCTGGCCAGTTTACGTCAGCATTTCTCGAAATGATACGTCCAGGAAATCTTTCGTGAAATAACGCAATGGTTTCATGAGATGTGGCATGTGGCATTGAACTGTATACTTCTCCATGACTAATTGCCTACTACTGACAAATGTAGCTGTCAAATGCTGTCTGTAGGTTAATCGAGCAGGTGGTACATACATTCATTATTCCAGATTTTTTGGGATTTTTTCTCCTCGTTTCTATAAAATAAAAATATTCTCATCATTTCAATATATTTGTAGTGGGACAAATCAAATGATGTGCCCCAAAATGTCACTGCGTTTAACAAATTTTCCTTTCAGGGAGCCTAAAAAAAAATGCTGTATAGCTTGTCAGTGAGACTTTGTTTGAAAAAATGTTTGAAGAAAAGAAATATAGATATATAGAAAAATTGATAGATGCTTCCTGTTCAGTTGATATAGATAGAACATGGTATTCACTATTGAAATCTGAAAATGAAAATGGTAAATTCAAGATTAATTTATGAAAACATCCTGTATCTCATTTGATTGCCAACGTCACCAATTGTCACTGAGAAATGAAAAGTGTCTGGACGCATACGAATTTGCGATACAAAGAATCCATTTTTTATGTTGAAAACGGGAGCAGATTCATTCCCGAAGCGTCCAATGCTAAGTAAAAATTTGATATTTTTTCTATATACCTTTATTTGTCTTCTCCAAACTTTTTTCAATAAAAATTGTCACTGACAAACTGGTGAATCTTTTTCTTTTAGGCTCTCTGATTGAAAAATTCTTTAAACGCAGTGACATTTTGGGGCAAATCACCTGGTTTGTCCTTACTACAAGTGTATTGAAATAATATTCATATTTTTATTTTATAGAAACGAGGAGAGAAAATCCCAAAAAATCTGGAATAATGAATAGCTGTCAAGTTTCACCTGCACATATCTTGCAGTGCTGCCGCTATTTCATTTTACTGTTCTCACACGTTTATTGGAAAACATGTAACATAACATAAATGCATAAAAATTGCGTTGGCGTCTCACTGTTATGTTCTCGTCATATTTCTCTCTAGGCACTATCTACATAGAAGTTTAATATTATTTTTCCACATTCATGCAAAAAGCAGAACTTTATTGAACTATATTTAGTGGAAAAAGCAGTTCTTTATTGCACTTAGTGCAATAAAGTTTTTATTGCACTCATCTGTCATTCTACTTCAACGTGCTGTCATCAATGTTGCAAAACAAATATTTCAGCCTGAAGGAAATAACGATGTACAGTTACCAAGTACTAGTACGATTACAGCAGTAACAAATCAAGAAGTGGATTTAAAAAGTACTTCACTATACGAAATATTCATATTGAAAATTGCACCAATTGTTCATTCACATTCAACATTGAGGGTAAAAATAAAGTTTGAGTTAAATTGTTCGTAACGTATTAGTTCCTGTTTCAATGCAAATTGATATTAATAATAAAGTATTCAAGTTGCGTTTTTCATTTTCCTACACCTAGTGCCGCACCTCAATGAATCATTTTTTGCATTTTGCATGAACGTAGAAAAAATGTTGTATGCAACTCGTGCAAAAATTGTTTATTGCACTTTTTGCACTTGTTGCATAAATAACTATTAATCCTTGTGATTCTAGCAGACAGTGGCGGCGAGCAGTTCCCCTGCCCCGAATGCGGCAAACGCTTCCGCAGACTCGCGTACCTACGCAAGCACCAAGCCGTCCATCAGCTCGAATGACAAAGGCTCGTGCCCGTCCGGCCGGTCGCCCGGATGCCGCCCCGCCTCTGGAGGCCGCCCCCCTTGCCGCCGCCTGTGCCGGCCCAGCTGTCACCCGCGCAGGAGGCGGCCTTCGCTGGGGCGGCGCATCGGTACTTGTTGCCCGCCGCCACGTGGTTGAATCCTTTTTGAAGCCGGAAGGCGAAGGCGGTCTTGTACATTATGTAAGTAGTTCTGTGAAGATAATATTCAGGGGGAGTCGAAAATGTGTACCGAGCTCTCTGGAGGTGATAGTACATTGAAATAACTATTGTTTGATCAGAATGTACATTGGAGGGATATTATATTATATCCCACTCCAATGTTAATTGAATTAATATATGTTTTCTACTCACTGCATCAAAAGTAAGCCTTTGCTCCCTCATTCAAGAACACAAACTTCCTCATATTCCAAACTCACTCAATCGAAACTTTGAAATGCAATTACACAATAAACAAATTCAATGTGACAGGAGTGTCAAATTTATTTTTGTTCAGATTCAAATACTGCCAATATTGTCCATGGCATAAAACACTTTTGTAACAAATTGTTTTGGATCGAGACTCGAAAGATATACCTCTTGAAGTACAATCTTGAGAACGACGCTCTCAAATATACGTTTTCGTGGATAAAATCATAAAATATATATCTTGGGAGCAGAGGTTCATTTCCTCACATGTGTGTTATTTCACACACGGGAGGAAATAGATACCTTTGCTCCCTTGATATATAAATAGCTATTTTCCGCATAGCTTCAAAATGGTAGAAGCCACCAGATTGTAATTTCCTGCATAATTCTGTGTTGTTGAAATACATTTTCCTGATACACTTCTACATTTCTGATATTTTAATAAAGGGTATTTTTAGAGGGGGAGTCTTGATTTTTGAAGTCAACTTTCTTCCATGTATTCTTTCTGGTGAAAAAATAGAAGCACTTGATAGAGCAACAAATAATACATAATATAAATGGTATTCTTTTTAGAATATAAAAAATTTTGTTACCGCTGAATTAATCTGCTGTTATGATGTACGAATGAATACTCGAATATCTAGAAAACTGTTCAATGCTTCATATTTTACCTTTTTTATGTATTCATCTTCACTCTGTCAAATGCTCCTATTTTTTTACCAAAATGAATACGAGAAAATAAGTTGTCCCCAGAAAATCATGACCCACCCTCTGAAAACATCCTTTATAACGATATCATAAATGTAGAGGTGTATCAGAAAAGAGGAATTTTAACAACACACATTATTATGAAGACAATTTCAATCTGGTGACTTTCATTGTTTATAAGTTATAAAAATAAGAATAGTTATTTTATCAACTTTGGAAAGATATAATATCTGCCTTGATATGCATTAGGAGCCATATAAGTGAATCATATTTTTTACCGTACTATCACCTCCAGAAACCTCGGTACACATTTTTGACTCACTCTGTATAGGATGGTTATATAAATGTCGTGTAAATAATGTAATTATAAACTATACCTACAGGGTGTTTGGAAAAATGTGCTACGGAGGTTGAAGGGTCCATCACACAATATAAAATGTGTTCAATATATTTCAACATCAGTCCAGGAAATTCGTAATTTTCGGACTTACCAGTGGAATGTCCTTGTGTATCCTGGAATTTTTTGTTTATTTCGAGAACAGCGAGACTTTATTGTCAACAATGTCAAGATAATCGACTTCGTGTTATATTGACAAATATAAATTTGTGCCTGAAAATTTATTACATGTTTTTCGAAATACCCTGCACAATCAGCTTTGAACATCAGACCCTCGTATACGTCGTTATCAGAGTTCAAGATATGTACAGTTGTATGTATAAACAAGTCTTAAAAGGTTTGTATGGTGTAAACCTGCCTATGATGTTTCAGATTTCATAAAAAAGTACTACACGTTCAGATTCGCGCGTTACTAACAAAAATAGTTTGAATTTTGACACTACATGTAAAAGTCGATAAGGAGATTAACCAAGATTGAGCCTATAACTGCTGTATGACTTCTTTATGCACACAACTGTACACCCAGTGTTCCGGTATATTTTTGTTCCATCAGTGTAGCTCATTTCAGATGAAATAAAAAAATTCTCACATTCTGATATAAACACAAAGGAAACAAATTGAAAATCGTTTCAACTGGAACTAGCTCTAAATTTTAATTTCAAACGACAAATATATTTTTTCAAATTATAAATTCCAAAAGAAAAAGGTATAGCGAAAATTAAATTGTACAATGTACTTTTTTCAATTATGATAATTATTTGATGCAACAACTACATTTTATGAAAAGAACCTCAGAATCTATATAAATTCATCCAATTCATCTCCTTCCATGTTATTATAGCATTTATTTTATTATATACTAGTTATTTTTATTTACTTGTTCGTCTTCAAAATTTGGCGAAAGTGCTGAAATTTTTTGGCAAAAGTGCGGTTCTTTCGCCAAAATATAAATTGGTGTATTTATAACCACCAAAATACTACGTTATGAATGTTATTACACACTTCGTATTTTACATTCAAGCTGATAATACTTCAACATCTACCCAAATTTTGAAAATTAGAGTATACCTAGGACAATTGAAGTGAAAATCAAGTTTATATACACCATATTTTATAGATTACTACAATGCTTTAATTCAAAATTTCAAGTGATGTTTTCATCATCTTGATAGTAGAATTCAGCTTTAGTAAGGTAATTTTGAGTAAAATGGAAAGACGAAAATAAAATATACAAAGTTTCATTAGAAATAATAAAATTTTTCTCAGATGGAAGATCCTTGTGATATATCAAAATGTTAAAATTTACAAATTTTATTTTCTGCAATGAATGAGATATTTCATTGAAACATCAGGTACACCGAAGCTCTCGGTATACGAGTAGATGATAGGATTAAATTAAGTAGTACACCTAATAAAAAACAGAATATTCCGACAACTATATATGCACCATGCTAAATATACGAGCACAAAAACGCAAAACAAAAGCGTGAAGCGTCAAAAAATCAAGAAGCGTCGGAAAAACTAGTGAAAAAGGTCGCGCATGCCCGTACATTAAGACACTGTCGAAAAAAAGACTTTTTTTGATGTTATTCGACGTTTTGACGCATGCCTAATGCTTTCGTACGTTCTTCTCACGTTTTTTTCGACACATGTGATGTTTTCGGGACGTTTTAGTCAGGTTTTCAAGCCCGTATACAGGGTGGTCCACATTTCGTTGTCCAACTATTGCTATAGCATTAGTGGAACAACGAAATGTGGGTTACCCTGTATATAGCATGAGGAAGGAAAGGGCCAAACTGCTGTCGAAGGTGAACTACTCAATATAATGATTAATACATCTAGCCTCAGTTATTCTAAAATCGTCAGTACCTTGGATCCCATCATGACGTATAATGATACGTAATTATGGAAAAATTAAAATGTAAAAATCAGTTTTCAAAGAATTTATTGTGTATATACATGCTGAGAATGCAAATATAAAGCTTTGTAATGATCTCACTAGGATATAAGTTTCATCAGTATTACTCTACCTAACCATTTGTCTCGAAGACCTCAACGATTGGTAAGAACACAAACTCAATAATAGAAAAAGTAGAAATAACAAAACATCATCAGATTGATAATCCCCATATTAATTCATTATTGGACTTCAAGCCATGGCTAAATGAATTTTCCATATCATATTCATGAGCTCTATATACCTATCTTTATATACAGTGTGTCCCACTTTTCATGAATACACCCTGATATTTCAGTTGTTAATGGTGCGATTCTCTTGAAATTTTTGTAGTGATTGTTTGTCAGAATAAGGAATTATTTAGCAGAATGAACAGTTTCATTCACCATTGGCGTGCGATGTTGAGGGGTACAAAAAGGCCTTTATTTGGGAATAGGAATAGGACTCATTTCAAATAACTATTTTTTATCAGATTCATAATCAACATCTCCAAAAATCCCCCAATTCAAATTTTCCAAATCCCAAGAGCTAAAATAAAATATTTCAAAAACCCGCTTTTCATGACAACACCCTTAAATCTCATATCAACGATGCGACTTTCTTGAAATTTTGATAGTGATTGTATGTTAAAGAAATATCGCATCATTAATAATTGAGATTTTGGGGCGTATAGCCATGAAAAGCGGAATTTTGAATTTTTCTTGATATTTTGAAAATATGAATTGGGGGTTTTTGGGGATGCTGATTCTGAATCTGATAAACACAATTATTTAAAATGAGTCCTAATATCCTTTTTTTCGAATAATAAACATTCTTGTACCGCTCAAACCGGAAGTGACTTTAAATTTTTGTTTCTCTCAGTTGAAGATTCCTTGAACGAATTGAAGATTATGAAATTTTCGAATTTTTGTTTCTCGAAATGGCTGAGGTATATCATTTGAACAGGTATACATTTTCATATATTAATTTCTAGTCTAGTCTGTTTGACTGCCTTACTCCCTATATTTGATTGAATTTTTTGTACTTACCAATCATTACCTTAGGTGTTATATACATATTTCTAGTCATCTTTATCATAATACTAGTCATTAAGTATTCTATTCCTTATTGATGTAGGTATAAGTACTATATTTTTTGTATAATTTTTTTATGATGCCTATACAGCGAATCGACCAAATATAATATTTATTTTTAGTTAATTTCATGCTTCTAGTCAAGATCTAGTCATATAGTAATTTCTAGTCATTTGAATTTTATCTATCAGTTTAAAGAGAGTGTACCAAAACTACTCCTACATATACATATATTTATATCAGAGGCTATGCAAATCATTTGGACAATTTGAATTCTGAATAAGTCAACTGATAGTGTATATACCAAAAATATTATATATATTTTTTTAAATAAAATACGTTTCTAGTCAGAATCTAGTCATTTTAGTTCATATTTCTAGTCATTATGTTATATGAGTTTTCATTTTATCTAGACTTGTGAAGGCCAGATATAATATAATATGGAAATTATTCCAAAATCGTATCACTATATATGGTCAGTTACTTCGTACTTCAGCCATTCCAGTTAAATTCTAGTCATTTCTATAAGTATTTGTAAATAAATATATATAGTCCAACAAAAACAACTACTCTTATAAGTCTTTCTCGAATTTAAATTATATCAATTATGTATAGCTTGATTTCAAAATGCAGGTACCCATGTACTAGATATTATTTTTTAAGATAGAGTGAGGATTTGGAGACTGGTTAAATAATCAAAAACAAAAATATAACCAAAAGGTTTTGCTTCGATGAACATATCAAAATGAATTAGAAAGTTGGCAATAATCAGGGATGAGACTGAAATCTTGGTACATTAACTGATCTCTAATGTTGATTCAATTCCGACACTGTCCAATGCCTTATTGTTTGTGACATGTTTAAGAAGTACTGATCATCTTCTAAAGTGATATAAGGTGATTAGTTAAAATAATATATTGGGCAACATGCACTTGGTTCATCAAATCGAATATATCTGAAGTGAACAAAATGTTCTTCATATCTTGTGTCTATGATTCGTCGTGCTGTTCCAATATATTTCATGTGTCAGTCATTACAATTGATTTCATAAATCTTATTA